TGATACTGAACTTTCTGCAGAAACAGAAAGGGATCAGCCGTTCCAGCCCAATTATCAACCGAACTGCCCAAGTATGACACGGCCGAATGAGAGTCAAATAAATACTGTAGAGAACATCATTAAAGATAGTTCGTCTGACGATAAGGCAATCGAAATTAATACCCGTGGTACGCAAACTACGGGTACGAAACCAGAAGTTGTTATGAATAAGAGGAAAAGAAAAATCGAAAAATCCAAGTTTGAAAAAAGAAAAAAGTATGGTGTTGAATTTCAAAGTGAGGTTCGACTTGACAGCAGAACTCGATCAAGCTCAGAATCTTCATTTTCAGACAATACCGACGCAAACTAAATTAAATTAATATCTCTAATGTTCGTTCGTAAAAAAAAAAAAAAATTATATTTCATACATATTTATTTTGATATCGTTTAGTTTAGACAGTAGTTGGATTTATAATTGTTTACATAAATTCATAAACTGTATAGTTACCTAATGTTTTTTTTCTTTATTGTAAAAATACATAAAACATATTTTCGTTTTTTTTTTTTTTTTGTTATTTATTTTAATTTTTAGTAATTAGGATCAAAATTAATTCATTAATTTCTATTAATATTTCTATACCATATTGATCACGAACTCGTGTACACGCCTATTTATTATATATAATTAAGATTATTCCGAGTAATTCAGTTTATACTAACAATTAGGAGGTACCTACTCAATTTTAAAATATAGAATATTTATCGCGCAGCCTCGTGTTCTTTCTCTAACAGATGCATATACTCTTCTTTAATGGAGATTGTCTTTGACAAATAATCTATTTTTCTTTTTTTCGTATTTATTTCTTCCAATTCTAATTTTGTTTTCCCACAGATGTTACGTATACAGACGAGAGAGGGTCTATTTCTTTTATTGTATACGGAGACAGTTTATTGGTTATGTTAGATCTTTTCCTTAGAATCTGGGGAATAACATTGTTAGTTTTAATCAATCCAGTGTCCTTGATATTTATTTCCTTCGAGATGGTGGAGAAACTAGTCCCGGATCTAAAGA